TTTTTTTTTTTTAACTTTTTTGACGTTGGAAGTGTAAGCTGCTTTCTTCGTTTCGTAAATTGATGTTTGTAATTTATCAGACCACAAAATAACACCGAAAAAACTGGATTGGAAGTAATAGACGAACATGGATTCCGGGAAGTATTACAGAATGTATACATATTAAGTTAATGATTAAATACAATTATGTTATTATTTTGATTACATTATGTCATCTTTTGTTATTGTTAAATTGTCGATTTTTAGACATTGGGTATATACAGGTTTTTTATGTGTAAGCCCGTTTTTTTTTCTATGGGCGCTACGCCCCTTTTTGTGGAGTAATTCTACACCTTTTTGAGGATTGGTGGCATTTTTACCGAAAATGAATCTAACACCGGGTTCGGTGAATTTCTTTTAACTCATTCGGCGTCAGAACAATACAACAGAGGTCCCGGGTAAGATCCTTAGTGGAGACATTAACATATCAATTACCACGGTTACATACTTGCCGCAGTGAGCCACGAATTGTATAATGTGTCTCCATTTGATGTTACCTGTTCGCTTACCTGTAGCCACGTACCTGTGCGTGTACACACTCTGACATACCCTATACGCTACGTTCCATATAAAATTATTTTTGAAATGACCCCTGTATTTACTTGTCTGGGTCTCTGTCTCCTTGCTCCGTGCTAGGTCTACCCCAAAATGAGAAAGGTCTAATATAAGGACTAACAGGAGGAGTGATTGATATAAGTTTACATAAAAAGTGTACACTCAATTATTTCATCCATGTACTGTACATGTGGAGGTTAGTACTATACTATGCTGTGTGAAGACCAGTCCTGCATCCACGCTTTTATTTTGGCTATTTTTGCGGTTCACAGTCCATTCAAAGAGTCTTAAAATCTTTTACGTCTTATATTGATCCCGTGATAAGTTACTATATTTTTTCAGGTGTTTTCTTCTAATTCATTATTCTACCATTCAGCGACGTGACGATGTTTTTTTTGGTAAATAACTATGCAATGAATCTTGCCCTTACGTATGTTACATGGATTTCGCTCAAACGTTCTTACAAAATACTCCCTCCTATTGCAAATATCAGCTGTTTAAGTTGTTCTTAGATGAAAAGAATAATGCAACGGTCGCACTGTACTTTTATTTCCTAGTTCCAAGCCGAAGGTGAAAGCATTATATAAAGCACGAGCTTGGAAACGAGAGCGAACGGGATAATGAAGCAGGCAGCATAACTAAATTATGATTTGAGAAACTTCCTTCTATGTTCCTTTAAAGCTTATAAATAATTCACCAAAACCAAATTTTTGTAACCTCTTAATCATCTGGCATTTGATTAAAATGTATTGAAAACCTTTTGGCAATCTAAAACAAAACAACAATTTCTTAGCATTTTGAGAGGTCAATTAACCAGTAACTCTATGTGTCCAAGTACCCGTTTTTATTCTGCGATAACTATTTGAAAAAGTATTGCTAGCACATGGTGGGTAATAATTTTTATATGATAAACAAGATGTAAGATCTCCATTTGCCAGGTGATGCTACGGAATCCTTTTATAAATAGAAAATGCAACACGTTTTTTAGACGTTACACCATTCAAATGCCCCGTAAAAACTTAATACTCTCTACAGTAAGATTTCCTACATTGTATCATGTCTTTGTCTTTATAGGGGGTTTTCCTTTCTTTTCTTTTCCCCCCCTATCGGACAGACTTTCAGATAAATTTTTGTATTTTTTGTTTAAAACTCGTTTTTCAGTCAAACTTTTTATCAGCTAATAATGATTCCCACCGTTTGAAATCAGGTAATTTAAGCATGACTTTTCAAGACCGAGAAATCGGGGTTTCATTTCGAATTTTTTTCTTTTAAAATTTTATTTTTCTTTTGGCTTTATATTCGCCCTCAAAATTAATGATTATGCATAACACTTGCTTCATATTTCCTGCGCCGACATTGAAGTATGTTGTTTTCTGTAAAAGGTGAAGCGGTTGATTCCGATTTTGTAAACTGCGACCTTATGTTTCCAGTAAATCTTATTACGTGAATTAATTCACTGCTTTCATCTACACTTTATCTATTAATCTATTGTACACAATCATAGGATTGCTATATTAATTTTTACTGCAGATAACATTCGGCTATCGTGTTTCGACGAAATATCATACTATATCAGTAAAGACGATGTTTTCACTGTATTCTTTTGCTATATAGAATTGTTTCATTGGGGGCTTTCGCTATTACTTCTTTGGGTTTATATATATATATACATATAGAATAAAAACAAATTTTTCAGATCGTCCGCTAGGCCTTTCTGCCTTCTAGGGCTTCTTCAGGCGGATTGATATGTAAAACTATAAAGTATTATTATATTATTATATATGTATGTATATATATATATATATATAAGAAAACATTCAGAAGTCCTTGTGTTGGATATATATCTGTATATATCTGTTTTAGTCATACGCATCCAAAACATATTTGTCTGTAAGAGTCCAGTGCTCATACTGTTTCTTACTGTCGTTGTTACTGAAACCGATATTGTATATAGATGCAGTAGTTACATTGTATATTGCTAAAGTCAATATGTAAGGCATTGCAGGTATTAAGTATGTCGCGTATGCATGTCACAGTAGTAAGTATGTAGGTCTTGAGAACAGAATGTATTACATAATAACCAATATCTGTATGAATGACACGATGGTCTCCTGGGCAAGGGCAAGTATTGAATAACATTGTTTCATTCGCAATATCGATGCAACCATCGAAAGTTTACCCTCAATTTAAGAAATTCTCCATATCAACATGATTCTATTAAGACAGAAAATGCATCACACAAATAAATAAGTATATACAATTTAATGGTGAAAATGATAATCTTGCAACTGATGTTAGAGCAATCGTCTGTCCTTTTCAATGATCCCTGTATCCCATGTCCATGTCCAATTGTTGCCCGTCACTCCATACCTTCATACTTTGAACAGATTGTTCGTTTCAACCTACAAAACATTTCTATGTTAATTTACTTCTGGAAAATATTAATGACATTTGACATACAGCTTAAACATTTTGCTAGCGATTCTTTATGTAATATGGATATAATATTCGTTTTCGTGGAATTCTGATCACAATGAGTTAACAGAGCTAAACAATTTGGACGGCAAATTTAACATTGTGTCTATGGGAATGAAGTTAAAGTATAGCATTATGCTGGGATGAAAGGTTATTTCTTAATAACAGAGCCACGGGTAATATAATAGATATTACCAGAGGAAACACTCGATATTATTAAACGAAGTCACAATTAAAACAAAAACAAAAAGTCAATCAATATAAGATCCATCAGGAAAGACGTGTGGCACGTCACTGTAGATTGTGATATATAGGTCATCTTGGAAAGGTAATACTATCGTTAACAAAAGCCATTCAGTGCTAACGTTTGTATTATCAAAATGATATGATGGTGAAATATTTAGATGTTACAGAACATAGAATATGAAGGTTTTTTTTTTTTTATATAGACCACTTTTTCAAAATTTACAGAATGAACAACTTTAAATTTGCGGTTGGTTTGTCAATCATGTCTTATAGTTATATACTGAAATTGATAATTACTTCCTGAAATAGCAGAACCCATGAACCACGAGAACTGAATGGTATTAAGAAACACACGTTTCAAATGACAGCATGTCTTAAGTTATCATAACAATTTATTTTCACATCTTGTTGTAGAAATCGTAGATTGCTACTATAATGTTTGTTAAAATCTACGGACGAACAAAAAGGACAATTTAGTTGTATGACTATCATTAACAAAAGAACAAACTCAAGTATCATTTACTTTTAGAAAATTCAATAAAAAACCAATTGTAAAATTTGTCATTCCTGTGAAAATCGATGCTTTTTTGCAAGCGTCGTTATAATTCGATAAACGATTACATAGACTACCGAAATACTGAGAAATAATAAATAGTGTAGAAGAAATTAAAACAATAAGCAAATGTCATCGATTGCATTGAAATAAATAGACTGTCTTACACTTGATCATACATACCTCTGTAAGGCCGTCCATAAAATGGTGGAGGAGGAGGAGGTGGTCGCCAGAAAGGGTTTGGACCCCAGGTTGGCCCAAACTGCATTGGAGGAGGAAATATTGGTGGGATTTGCGGTACCCGGTTATTCTCATTGTATAGATAGTAAAGGGCCCCAAGCCCCAGAGCTGTACCAGCGATACCTGTATTGGTTAACGAAAATCCTGTCTGTGCCAAAGAACTGCCCACCAAGAGACTCAACACCAACGTTACAGCACATAGTTGACTGTACTTCATCTTGGAAACTGCGTCTTCAAAATAATACATGAAGGATAAACTCCATTCTGTTTCCAATATAAAATTATTAACAAGTTGACAAATAATTCTATCTACAATAATATTTTATAGTTTTCTACAGTTAATTTGTCAACTGGTTTGAGAGACTGTTGTATGCTAAGACAATTTCGCCCAGTCAAATATTCGCCTTTCATTGCTGAAATCCATATTCGCCTTTCGGTAATTCCGCCCTCTCACTAGTTTAGTATCTATTATGCTATGCACTAAATCTTCTTTGTCTTCAAAAAATCGTTATTTTAGGTACAGCGAATGTTAAACTGCGGCGAAAAGTTCCTGGTATACAGTGTTACCTAATGAACAAATTGTCAGTGTTTGATCATTTCATGATTGTTGTACAACTGAAATATTTTCTTTTTATTTATTCAACAGAGTGAAAAGCTTATAATTACTTGATGTAGTTTTTTTTATTTTTACGCAGAAATAAGTTACATTGTTTTATTCAAATCTTTGACAATACCTTCAAATACAAATTGAACATTATATAAAAAAGAAAAGGAAGCAAAACCAAGTTTCATGACACTGATGTAAATTTGTTACCTGCTTCATAATCAATCATTTCAACACTAGCTACAGGAATGATATAATATGAACAACATAACAAATACGGGAATAGGGTAGGGTAATGGATTGGTATGTTGTGCAAACAAGGAATGAATAATATATCCATATGCATGTGATCATCAGATGGTAATATCATATTGCTATATTGCTATGAATATGTGGAACACGATTCTGTATTATATAACTACATGTGTATTATAGTCGATGAAATTTTCAGCAATGCTGTAAATGGACATTCGATGACATATCAGTAATAAATTGCATACGATTAAAAAATCACTTTGTTGATTTACAAGAATGCTACTGTACGTCAAAGTTTAAATTCTGCAAATATTACATTGCTGATCTAGTTGATAATGTTTTAAATTAGTTCAAAGAAACCGCTTCATTGCATGAAAACCGTAAAATTATTGAATTCGTTATACTGTTTCGGTCATTTTTCTTATTATAAAGGGACATTGTCCCCATTAGAATGAAAATGTTACAACACTTAATACTAAATTACCAATAATGATTTTAATCTCTAAGACAGGACAGTAGGTTTCTGAGACACTTGTTTCGAACAATTACAACAATGAAGGTTTGCACATAATGTATATAGAAAATAAGCAATACACCGCTACTTCGCAGTCCAAACGTTAATTGAATCAAAGGATTAAAGCAATAAAGGTTTGCACATTTGTACATAATGTATAAGCAATACATCGCTACTTCACGGTCCAAATGATAATTGAATCAAAGCATTAAAGCAATAAAGGTTTGCACATTTGTACATAATGTATAAGCAATACATCGCTACTTCGCGGTCGAAATGATAATTGTATCTAAGGATTAAAGCAATAAAGGTTTGTACATTTGTACATAATGTATACAGGAAATAAGCAATACTCATATGAATTGCAGGATAACAAAAAAGAATGGATAGAATAATAATAAATTTGTTGGTTGTTAAAAAGTGTGGATAAGAAATTAAGAATTCCAAGCAGCATGGCAATCAATCAATTAAAACACTAGTATGTTTTATGTTACAAAATTTGAAATGGAACCAAACAAAATATATCGCTGATAACTGGATTATCCTAACACTGTATAAAAGAGGAAGAATGTAATCTGGTATATATCAAGTAGTATCTATATATTTTGCAAAGATGATCATTTGTATCTATTTATCATTCACTGATAAAAACAAATCCTGATAAATAACCAAACTCCATTTTCTCATATGAAAACAAAATCTATTTGTTTTCATAGCTTAACAAGTCAAATAACCATTTACGTTTCACAGTTAATAAGATAATGTATTTTTAAATCTCTGATAATTTACAATAACATCTGCAGTTATAACGCTGATTTACAAATGATTTAGAGTTGCGTTACGATCTCCATTTGGTTAGATGCAAATATATGTTTTGGACTATTGTCTAACACGTTTGATGAAATCGAATATGTGGAAATAAGCCTGTTCAATGCCCTAAATGTGTCATTTCAAGTAATTCGCTTCAAACGAAAATATCTATACCGGCACAAAGGAAGAAGCATACACAGTAACAGTCAGCGTATTGACTGTTGTTTTTCTAATGTTTTTTAGTAATGAAATATTTAGCAATAGTTTAGATTTTATAGGTATGATGTTTGAATTGCCATTTTAATCCAAACACCCCTTTGAAGTATATTGCCTTGATTTCGCCGGCCGGCAAATTAAGATCTATATTTTTGTACTTACCGTTCTAGTTCAGCAGATACCAAGTGATGTGCAATACCTGGCGATAATTTGCCCTTTTCTTTTATACCCCAAATTCATACTCAATGTATGCAACCCGTGTGTCAATCAGACAGACATTATCTTATCCCCTGCCTGACATTTGGCTTCATCGTTAACCTTACAAGCCGACTATAACTGGTCAGTGAAGTACATGAATATTGATGTTTTATCGAGTATGTGGTCATGATTGGCACAACATTATGTTTATCCAGAACGCTAATATTGACCTAAATATTCACGCACAGTATATACAGCTTAGCTGGTTAGGATTAATCCCGTTTAACTTCGTAAAAAAAAACAAAAAAAGGAAAGTTGAACGGTGTATTTTCAGTGAGTAAGCGTAGCAAAATAGGTGACGTCTAAGAAAAACGGAATGGCTGACCTGTCACCTTCTGGGTTAAAACTCGCTTCCAGCCAAACGGCTTGTGGGCGCATTAAATAATACCGCAAAATGCCCGCTCATAATTAGAAAAAAGATGAATGAATACAGGTAGACTTGCGAATAATAAATTAATTTTCATTTTGCTTCTCAGAATCTGTTTTTGTCAACAAATGCAAACAATATGATGTTAAGAGTGTGATTTTTGGATCTCCTGTACGTTTCATTTCATGTAATCAGTGGAATACAACTTATGCAGTTACAATGTAAAAAAGAAATGTATTCCGGCCAAGCTATGAGATCAAAGATGTCGTGCATAGCACGTTTTTTATACGAACTGATTTTGTTTTTAATGTTTTTATCCAATGCTATTTTCAAACATGATATAATCGGAATGTTATAATATAAATAATATGCAACTGAATAAAAAAAAAAAAAAACAGGGTCCCTATCAATTGTACCAATGAAACACTACCCGTAGCTTTACATATTGTTACGTCACCATTAAAAGCTTTAAATATGAAGCCAAATTGATGGCGTTGGATAATAAATAATTACAAAACATAACGTGTTTTTTATTTTACTTAGTCGCTCCATTTCATATGATGAAACTTAATCGCTCTATTTTCAGGAATCGTTTCATCAAGCATATGATAGTATGATATTACATCCCTTTCAGTTTGATTCATTGGTCATTCTAATTGCTTGTTGTCTAACTACCAAATGTTACAAACAGTACGTATCCCTGTCTATAGTTTTCTTTAAGTTTATTTAGATTGGAATCGTTAAAACAAATTAGCCACGTGGAAAATGTTTTTTCTGACATCAAAGTAATCGCCTTGACAATTCGATTATAGAATGCAGTCAGTTAGCGTGAAATGTGTACAACTTTGAAATGTAATTGTGAAAAGTATATCATATTGATATTCGCATGTAATTATTTAAATAGGACAAAGCAGAACGATAAACAAGACAACACTCAATATTTGTACATAGATTGTTTTATTATAAAACATTATAATAACATTGAATGACTCATAAGCAATGTAAACAAAGGACAATATCGAATAAATATGTTGAAATTTGTAATTGGTTTGAATATATTAATATATGTTATACAATACATTTAGAAAAAAGGGAAAATTTCATTGTATTGCATGTTTTTTTTATCCGTTTTTAACTTTCTATCCTTTGCCATATCCGGTACGTCAGTATTTCATCATATAATAAAGTCGCAATTTTGAAAGAGTTATTCATAATTAGTTAATTTATTGAAAAAATGTTTCTATACCAACACTTGAAACTGTAAATTTAGTTCTTTAACTATTGTCTAATTATTTGGATAATGCAATTGTCCTGATTGTTAAACTAAACCCATAGAATCCATCTGATCAATTGGTTCAAAACACTAGAAAAAATAAATAAATTTCATATCATTGAAAATGCTAAACAAAGCAGTACATAGCAATTCTGCAGAACGGTGAATTTTTACGTGATATCATTTGTGATGTTATAACATGCTAAGATGCCATCAAAAGAGTCACTTTCGACATTCCTGTGTTACTGTTTTCATTTTTTTTATTCGAATTGGTGGTTTCCAATATTTTTTTTCTGTAATTACACCCTAATAAAGTGTTTAAACAATATATTTGTTGAATTTATTGTAATTTACTTTCATTTTCGCGAACTCATCTTTTAGAACTTATTCGCAAAGATATTAATCAGCGGGTTACAGCGTTTTGTTAAGATCATTGCGTGTTAGTGAAGTTACCATCATAACTTAAGGATGCCCGGACCACGGTCAAAAAAAATTAAATTTGCATTAAGGCATGACCATTTGGCTTCAGCAAAGAATCCAAAACCTTGCAATATTTTACGGAAAAAATAATACAGGCGAAAAAAATAATAAATCAAAAATAAAAATGCAACGGGGCCAGACCATGATTCGAACCCTTGACCTCCAATCATTTCATTTGTTTGTCTTACCAACAGGGCTGACTGCTCAACGGTAGCACCCCGGGCTATCAGTTATATCTCTCACTAAATTAAGGGGATATTACGGTATTTACGAAGAACTAAAGTGAAGTTTTCTAGTACTTTGCCTGCAGCGGGGCAGGAATCCTTAATAATGCTAAAAAAAACATGCAAAATCTAATAAACGACAGTCGCTTGTGGATATCTATGGAATGCTGACAGTGAGATGAATGTGTAAATGCATTAATTTAATATGTATTTTTATGGCATTAATTTGTCAGAAAATGCTTTCAACAAATGATAGGGTCGCAAGCCACCACGTATGATCGACACTGAACATAGATTACATGTACCAGGTAAGTTTAATAATGAATATAAACTACGTTAACCAGGTGTGTATAGCATTGAACATAGGCAACCTTAACAACGTTTGTTTAACATGGAACAACGATCACTTTAATATGGTGAGTTAACATTGAACAAAGTGTGGACAAAGATATCGTGTTTTGGGCAAGTACAACATTAAATATAGACTAGTATAAATAGATAGTGTTTTATGTTTTGTTGCCGTTATCAATCAATAACGTTTAGAAATTAAAAAAAAAAGATCAGCATTTTTTTTTACCACGGCAACACATAGATACATGAATCTGGTAAGGTATTCTAAAATAATGATTAAATACAAGGATGTATGGCTAATATCAACAAGCATTTGAATTAATTTAACGACACCAGTAAATGTTTTACGAATGCAAAACGGTTTTCGGAAGCAAAAGAAGTAAATTAAGCAGTTTTTTATAAAGTATTTCGTTAATGAATATTATTTACAAATATTTTACAATTGTGCCATACAAAACGTATTTTTGCTCCTATATAAAACAGCAGTAGTTGGTTTTTTTATAATTAATTCTACAATTGCTTTTAGATTTAAACGAACGAAATCATTGTAAACATATATGACGATGGTACTTTATTTCATTAAAAGTTATGAGTGAATAGCATAACATTTTACGGTACCACTTAACTTGTACACACCACTGTGTGAAATAAAGTATTCATCTAACAACACGTGTCAATATATACATTAATTATGCATTAAAATGTGTAAATGACAGTTCGTATTTGGCAGAAAGAATCACAGAGGGTATATTCTTCATCTATCCCATCTGTGGTCGGTTTCCGAATTGTCCAAATTGACCACCACCACCACCACCAACACCACCCATACGGTTCATCCCATTGTTGCCCCCGAAAGGACCTCCAAATGCCTGGGGTGAGAATCCTCCAGCGAACTGGTTATTGCTGAATCCGTTGTTGAAGCCATTGTTGAAGTTGTTGAAGCCGTTGTTCATGCCACTGTTGAAGCCTCCAGCTCCGCCTGCTCCGAGGAAGGGCACGGTAACTTGCCCGTTCATTCCTCCCCTCTGGAAGCCACCTCCGGCCATGCCAATACCACCAAACTGGTTGTTGTTAAACCCGTTGTTTAACCCATTATTCATGCCGTTCATCATGGGGTTCCTGAATGAGTTTTGCTGGAAATTATTAGCCATTCCCGGCACGTTTTGGTTGAATCCGTTGTTGAATTGACCGTTCATCATTCCCTGTTGTTGAAAGCCTTGCGCGTTGACAGATCTCTGGCTGATCACCATCAATACCAGGCAGCATGCCGTCACTAGCTGTATTCTTCCCATGTTTCTGTAAAATCATAGATAAAATACAATGTGTTAATTATATAGTGGATTATATAAGGGACATCGCAGAAGAATTTGGTTGGTGAAAATCGTATATACCCTCAAATGACACCAATCTTCTTGGTGTTTTATCAAACCGGAAGTAGAGTTATGTAATACTCCAAATTTCGAGCAGTTTATCTGTCTTCGAAGCTTAGGAAGCAAATGAATGAAAAATGAAACAATAAGATGACAAAAAAGAATATCATCATAAAAATGTAAATAAATAATTTGTTAACAGACCCCATTTTTCCCCCAGTAAGATAAAATGTTTGCAGTCCTCAAATACTTCTACAGATAAACAAACCTAATGAATGAAGATTATATGGTTGTGGTTGCTTACGTTGTTTTTGTTTCTAACTCGAGTTAGTTAATTTTAATTGTGTAAAAGCACCAGGTTTACCGAATGTCATTTCAATTTGAAAATTAACTCAACCATCAGGGGACATTTTTCTTCAAACCGTTCAGAGAATGTATCTACAAAACCAAACGTTTTTCTTGAGAAAACTATTTTAGTGCTTCCAATCTGGGAAACAATTGCCATGAAGTTTGACGTCACAATAGAAGGTGACATCGCAAGGCATTGTTACCTGACATCATAATCAGAAGATTGACAAAAAAATAATAATTTCCATTGTGTCACCCACAAGTGGATAACCAAAATTATTTACCAACTCCTAGCAGGTTTATCGAGTAAGTTGGTAGTGAGGAACCTATAGTGGTGGTGGGAGAAATGACAATTAATTTTTGGCAATCGCCATCTTTCCGAAACGATTTCTTAATAAATGAAAATCTGTTAACCATTTATGAAGGTATGAATTTATAAATCAATCATAGAAACATTCAAATGTTCATGCATTGAAAACGTTCAAGTTGGTATTCAATAAAATTAGCTAGAATGTATATAATGGGATAACTCTTAAATACACAAACATGTTGTTGTATAAGGTAGTATATGACCTTAAGGCAACCCATCTCGGGATCATCCAGAAGTTAGCGGTTTACTTAACAAATATATCACAACCGAACCTGATGGAATAGTCACGTGGCACATTCTGCTGGCGACATTTACCGACTTGTTGATTGATCTCAATCATTAAATCCCCAAGGTCACCAAAACTGGATAAATTACTTATATGTATGTCAACAGGTCATCGGTATGTATCACAATGTAGCTGTGATATTACTTTGTAAAGTCGTACATATATATATATATGTATATGTACATCAGTATAGAGACGTTCCCACATTATAGCATAGCATACAGTCGTCATTATATAAAAGTTTAGTATATAGTTACCTCTAAAACATATAACATCGTTAAGTCATTACTACCTTATATACTAGTATGTAGATATCAATATAACATATTTATTACTGTATGATATCGCCATAACATAATCTTGCTAAATTTACATAATGTACATAATATTCATATCAGCTATGAAAGTCATGGCCAACGTGTTCACGGCATCATTTTTATGATGTCATAATTGTTACGTAGGATACCGTTGACCCTTCCTTGAAGATAGCTGTTCTCATTAATTGACTTCAATTAGTTTAAATATAATTTTTAGAAAACGGTCAACATATGCATTGAACAGATTTAGTTGGCATTCGTTGCCACTATGAATGCCAACTGGATATGACAAATTCAACACAAAGAGCTAGCACACTCCAAGGAGTTAGTCAGGTTCTATTGGCACACATAGAAATAATAAATACTAATTGAATGCAATTTATTGCTTAAATATACCTGCATATAATTATCGCTACATTTGAAATTAATATTTGATTGTCGTAACATTTATCTATGCGCATATGTATCTGTTTTTACTTGAAGTATTCGTAAATAATCGTCACGACATTATGTTTTATGTTGAAATGACCGTTGTTTATGTATATCTATAAAGAGATATCGCTATATTATATCGTTTTATTACATACTTACTAATAAATGCGGGTTTTTTGTATATGCGATACGACACAATTGCTCTGACCCATATCAGCCCTCGCCGTATCACACCCCAAAAGCCGTATCAGCCCCCGCCGTATCACACCCCAAAAGCCGTATCAGCCCGCAAAACCCGTTTCACACCCATTTTGATATTTCAAAAGAAAAATAGATAATAAGATAGCAGCTTTTATTAGTAAGTATGTAATAAACAGAATAAAACATGACTTTTTCCATATCACAACCAGTATCAACCCTCGACCAATATCAGCCCTCGGGATAAAAGATAAGCATGACGCTGTTAATGCATTGAGGACATGGATAAGTTAAATATATTTTGGTAATTTATAGCACGATGTAAAATAAACACATTCAACGCATTTATCAATAGTTTAGACCTTTTCGATCGCTAGCATTACTTATAAGTCTTAGCAGGACAGAACAGCCGTATGGTGCAATGGTATTGTGTTTGGTACACTGTTTCTGTTATCAAAAGGTGCGCTCACTTCCGTGTATCTTACGTAACATTACAAAATTGTGTCTATCCCCTTTTCATTACTTTGTAAATCTGTTGAGAATCGTCATTACATTATAAATTCATATTATTTCGCCAATACACTATTGTTTATATCAATTCGGTGCTACAATTATCAGAACATAAATTCATTATATTTTTTTTCTTAGATTCGTCAATATTTTATGAATCTGGAAAGGTTCGTCAATGCATTAATGTGGTTATAAATGTGTCGCTACTTTATAAATCTGTATAGAGATTTGTCGCTAAATTATAAAACCATATTTGAATACGTCGCTTCATCATAAATATGTTTATAGATTTACACCAAATTATAAATTTGTAAATGAATTCGCGGCTACAATAGAAATTCTATATAGATTTAAAAACCTGCATAAAGATTTGTCACTAATCTATATTTTGTGTATGAATTCATTGCAATTTATAAATCTGTATATATATTTGTCACCAAATTATGAATTGGTTTATGAGTAATGTGTATATAAAGTCGATATTACTTTTTGCATACTCGTATGTAATACATTTATTTACGGTATGTACAGAGGTGTTCACACGTTTCAGTTCGGTATATTCACATATAATAGGACATTCACTCTATATGGACCAAATGATAGAAGTAGACAACTATAGCAATCTTACAATTATTGGCTGTGCATAAATTCATATATAAACTGTTCAAGAATATCTCTTTTTATAGATTCCCATAAATATCTATCGTAGATTATGTCAAGTAATGAAATTAAGCTCAAAGATTGAAATTGATGTGGTAATAGGCCGGTAATATAGTCTAAAATAATATTGTATTTTTATTTTCGCAAGATATTCATTTTTGGCTAAAATTTGCGAAAAGAGTCGATGGAGGGAATGAAGAATGAACACATATGAGTAAAAGATTTCTTGCTATTTACTTATTTAAAGTATAAACGCACTAATCAGTTGTATTGGTTATATATGAAAAATACCAATTTTCTTTCGATTATTGACAGGTTTACGCGTCATCGATTTTCATCACTTTGACGTTAAATTTGCAAGCATAACTTGTAGATGTAGATAAATACGACTATTTTTTTTATCCTGTACGGGTGTGATATTATCTTAGGATTATATTTTGTTTACATTCTCAATGTAATAATTTCAAATCTCAGATATGCATGTTTTCATTTTAATTTTACAAATGTTGAAAATATTACTGATTATAGTTTTGCTTACCTTTTCATTAAAACCCTAATATTTTAATTTAAATATGTTCAGAATAAATGTACCTCAGTGTTATAATTTTACAAAGATATTATTTATATCTGATATAAATAATTCACAAAATTGCCCACAAGCTACAATGCAGGTGAGAAGAAAACACTATATTTGATCAGAGCAAAATAAAAGATATATATATAACACTTAATTCAACATCAGAAAGACGACAGAAACTTTGGAAAGCTAAGGAAAGTTCACGGTTGTTTTCACATGACTAATTATCCAGTTCGAATACATCCAAAGCGATGGAGACGTCCGCATTTGAAACACTGACATCGTCAAACTCTTTGGTAATAGTAACAATCTTATTCTAATGGAGTATTCTAATGGAGTATTCTAATGGAGACTACCGTCACAGATATTAAAAAGTTGAACACGTAAAATAATATGTAAATCATGCATCAAATATAAATAAACATAGCATTAAAATGATCAGTATAAAGATAAATAGTATAAGTCCAAATAGTTGTTTACTCATGTTATTCATATATATATATATGTGTGTGTGTGTGTTAATTTCATTTTTAGCGTTATGTACAGCAATGATACAGCAATGTTGGAGAGCTTACCTGTCGAGGTGTGGATGAGCTGTTGAACTGACTGTTAGTGAGAGATCCGGGGTAGCTTTTACACCAGTGGTGAACCGTCCAACACTTCCGGGTAACGGTTACATCTACCTGTACAGGTATGACGCGGTATGATCACTGGTCGCGGGACCACGTAAAAACGGTCAATATGACGCAGAAACGTTGAGTAATGCAGGATATAACGGTTCGTAATATGTGGCAATTACGCATTCATATGGCATATTTTTAGTATCATTTTGTGTAATGAAAACGCGGAAATAACAGCAACACTTTTCATTGGAGCATTTTCAAGAATTCAACTGATGTACCGTGCAATGTGTCAACTGCGTCATATTTCATCATGATTTTTGCTTGGTCAAATGAACACATTACTCATTAAACTACAAACAGTAGATTTCTGTTTAATTTTGTTTAAAAATATAGAATGACGGTGCTTGTAATCGATTATTTATGGTAAAAATATCGTATTACCTTTTATTCTAAATGCCTTACCTGAAATAGGCAAACTGTATAACTGAAAAAAAATCCTAATCACACTTTCGCCCTTCACAATAAATCAATATTTTGCCTAGTATTGAAATTGATTGTTGAGTGTTCGCTGTAATAAAAAAAAAAAAATCCCTCATAAAAGAGGGCGAAAAAGGCAAAAGTTAAACTGCAGCGACAATGTCACTGTATACAGTATACTTATTTCAAATATCATGGCAGGGGGACACATGGGTTATATAAACTGGTGGTGATGCTTCTTTTTAAGATGTAGGCATCTGTTTTGTAAGCAGCAATATTTTATAGAAATTGCTCAAAAGAAAAACAAATCCCATACTACCCTCAAAGTAACAGAAACATTAAAACTGTCACGTTAACTAGATTACATATAAGAGATGTACTTCTAAGGAGATTTGTTTGATTGTGTGTATGTATTGTTCTAAAGCAAAGAAAGGTATTTTTTTTTATCGGTTATTACTTTCCTGTTTTTCATTTAAGCTGCGTATCTTGTATAGTATCACTCATGTTGTGCATAAATAGATATGTTTAATATAATTCCAGTTCGAACAAGCGTGTTGCTATAATTTTGTTCGGTTTCCTAGGAATAATGATATATTCAGGTAATTGACTAAAATATATATAATTGAAATTGATTGTGTCGATCGACAATGTTAATACTTTATAAGATGTTTACTATATAGTTCCAAATGGGACTAAATTCGACTAAGCAAAAGAATGTATTATACAATATGATTTCTGCTCTATTCTGAGCCAGAATATTATTTTTGAATTCATAAATGTGCCTTTGAAGTAGGATGGATTTGACATGTGTTTGTGTTACTTTCCCTGTATATATTGTATGAGAATCTTGCGTGATTTAATATGAACCGTGTACAATTTTGTTGAGAAAGTTTAACTTATATTGGTATGCAAATATAATTACTATATAAATGAAGGGAAAGTCTGGTGATTCTATTATGAAGAGTATGAATTGTAACGTATTTTCGATATTGATTGACTTGCGCTAGGTCTTTGATTCACTGTCTAATTTCTCGCTGAATGATGAGCAAATCAATGATTGGCCGAAACTGAAGCCTACAATTGTATCATAATACATTATGTATATAATTTTGCATTTTACCCATTTACCCCGTATGTCACAATTGAATTAATGTATAAAAACGAAATGGTTGTATATTTCAACATGGTCTGTCATACTTATTTCTATTATTTACAGAAAGGCGAGAGCAAATGACATGTAAGAGGCTAACAGTTTAATTACTTGACCTAAATCTCTTCTTCATTCAGAATTCCATATTCCATAGTAGGCATATTCCGACATCTATATCATTGGTCCTCCTGATAGGCATGTCCACGAACTCTAAGTCATATCTATCAGGGATAACACATACGACTTAGATCTGAAGTTGTTGATTAGAACCGTTTGTTCCTCCATTCTATTGTCTTCATCCCGAACTGGTGCTCCGTCAGCGAGTCTGTGTTGGTTACAATCTGTGCCTTCAGGTATAAATATCTTACTATTGCAAAGTTGCTAATATTCGCAAGCTTTGCGAATGTCAGTGAGTTGTTTCATCACGAATGCGAAGTATTGATATTGTATATGTGTTTTAGTTATAATTAAAGTACATAGAGAATAATACATGCCATTTTTTTCCTATCACAACCAGTAACAATCCGAGACTCGAATATCAGCCCGACGGCCGAATCCTGTATTTATTAATAAATATGCAATATATGTCTGTATCATACCTTGAGTCAAGTTGTTATTTTTAAAGAAAGTCAAAAGAGTTCATTCACTTCGAATCTGAGTTGAAACCATTTTTTTAAGAGAGCCGGCATGTGAAAGAGGTTCTGCCCTTTGTGTTTAACGATATAAGTGACGTAATAGCTCAATAGCTCAATGACTTCTACATAATGATCATTGTGCATTACTACTCAAAGGCATTATTATATTTAGTTTATTCTAGAAAACGTGTGCTTTCTTCATCTGACTCATTCAATTTACGTAAGATATTTAAAACATTATGAAGATTATGTTGATCACCAAATTTTAACTATGTGATTTATTTCTTTTTGTTTTTCTTCTGATTATTGTATTTTAACAAGTTGATTGACTCTACTGGGCATTGCGTTTTAGTTGGGATTTTTTGTGAAGAATATAGAAAATACAGAGGTAAATATGTCCACTTTGAAGAGATATACCATTGGCCTCAGATAATTTCGTGAATCTGGGGGAGCTCCAACTTCAGTGTCTTTGTCCTTTGTATAAATATTAGATATAAATCATCAACATTGCATATTGTTTTTTTTTTTTTATTAATATCAACATTATTGGAATGTAAATATGAATTTTTGAATAATATTTTTCATAGTTACGTTTCATGTTTTACATAATATAAAAAAGAGCCTTTTGGCAATTTTTCATCTTGGCATTGCGGTTTTTTTGGGAGGGGGGGGGGGGGGGGGGGGGAGGGTGAAGAATATGGAAAATACAGAAGTAAATATGTCCACTTTGAAGAAATATATTATTTTCCAAAGAATTTCCACACATTTGACACACTGCTAAGTTTGTTGAGGGCGGTCACCACTGACCACGAGAACAATTCTGTAGCTTTACAACTAGGAATTGTGGGGCTGTCGACCACAAACAAAACCCATTTATCCTGGAGGACCAGGCAGTGGTTCGGGAGGGGGCACTTTGTTGGCTGTGGTTGACATTAATGGTACAATCGATAAAGAAGTAGACAGGCGACATGATTCCCCTTGTCGTAAACGGTCGCAAACCATTTGCGTAGTCAGTTAATATCGAGTAGGAGACATAGCTAAGCGTGCCTAGTGTGGTCAGTAAATGGCCGTAATAGTAATGACCTACATTACATAGCATAATCGCATGAGAGTGACCAGTATGCACTGACTTATTGTTTATATAACTATGTTTGTCGCTGCCAAGGGAAAAAGAACTTATTTTCTATCAAAGTTTATTATATGGTTAGGTAGTATCATACCGTTTAATTCCTTGGTCTGTATTCGTGAAACCATTGTCATGCTCAAGCATGGTTTCTGTGCTCAAACCAACTTTCTTATGCTACGCTTGAGTGAAATGACACGGTCAAAAAGTCAAGTATATAAACACTGGAAATGGTATTCAGCTTTAAGTTTTACCTAAAATTCCCACCAGCCCATAAGTGGTCGTATTGCTTCATCAGAGGAACAAAAAGTAAGGATTGGAGCCCTGAATCTGAGTGTTAGCACAAGAACGATTTCATGAATAAAGGCTCGGGTTTAGTATCACGTATTATTTTTCTTCTAGTCGTTACTTAAGAAATAATCAGGCTTGCGGCCTGAGTTAATATTTTCAAATGTTAGTTTTCAAGTCATATTTTCCACCATAATATACAAACATATGTTGATTATATATCTATTCTACCACATTAAAAAAAAATCGTGTCTACCTCAGTTTCCAAACGCCATTACTTTTGTCCATCTCTCTAGTATGTCATTTGGATACCAAATGAGATTAAAGAACGTTTTACATTCCGGAACACCCATGTATTTTAACCGCCGCTTTCAGATCGATTTGTGTATCCTCTGTTCCTGTTGTATTTGTGTATTCAATGTGTGGTATATATTAGTTTTTGGGACTTCTCCACATGAACAGATTTTACCAACGACAGTCACCTTCACACCACTGGTGATACTGACCTAGCCAAAGCTATACATCTTTGCACGGACTTTCAATTATAAGACATTAGGACGCGTTGTTTATGATTCGCTGTTTCCGATTGTCACACAGATGCAGGGTGTCCTACTATACTAGACTATAATATAACAAGCATAGTGGTCAATCGAGGGTTACCAGTTATGACCAGTGTGTCAGACCAATACATCAATTGCTGCTAAGAGATTTTATTTGACATCTCCCTATTTTTTTGTCATAGTCATCTATTTGGTCGTCTAGGCCTTTTGATTATGGAAATAAACAGGTAACTGTTCTACCAGATAAGAAAGACTTAATTACCACTTATTGAGCAATGTTCAACAGGCTACTTGGCTAACTAATTTTTTTTTTACCGAAGAGCCTCCTATCCACACGGAAAATTAACATCATTACATGATTTCAAAAACAAAATAAAAAATGTAAAAGTTGCCACTATTGTAGACATGTTCACATTCCCGTATATTGTTTATTGTTGACACTATTTTCTGGATTTGACGTCATACATCATTACGGATACCACATGGGGTGCAGGAATTGCTTATCTACAGGATCTTTTTTCGGCTCTGTTTTGTGGGTGTTCGTAACGGGTTTTTTTCTGTTTTGGATTTCTTGTTGTTATCTTGTACATATGTATATCAATTTTGAGTCCTGTCTATCCTTGTCGATACTGTGATATTTTTCTTTTATATCTTACATAAAATATAGCTATACGTGCGATTTTTTAATGTAGGTATACAATTGTGGTATAGCCTTGTTACTTGTATGAGATAATTGACACTTGAGAAAGGGATCACATATTTAGGTGAACCGATGCATTAACTTTATATCGAGAGATTTTCACTGCTGTTTCATTT